TACTCAAGGTCAAAATTACATTGGAAACAGCTCACTACATTATCGCTTATTATATTACATTGTTTTATACGTGGTTCCGCCATCTATTGTATATTATTTTTTATTGATATCGATTTATTATTTCCTTGACTACTTAAGTAATACGATATGTATTAAGGAAATATTAACTTGGGCCATTTTCACTGATTAAAGTAAGGTATAGTGTTTAAATTTCATCATGATGTTAGTCAATGACCCAAACGGAATGATAGTTATCTTACTAATATTATGAATGCATATGTTTAGATGGATGGATATTTGTTTGAAGGTACCGCCAGAACGGATCTCGCTAATATTTGATATATGTAGAACATAGTCTGAAAGAATACATAGGCTACTTAAGTTTTTTTTTTAATTCTGGGCGGACAGAGTCGCGCGCGACAGCTAGTCAACACTAAAACAATAACTCCAGTTACCTATACTTACGTTCCGCGGTGCATATTTCACAAGCGGAGCGATTTCCGTCGCCTTGACCTGTCGACGGACGCTCCGCTAATCACCCCCCGCACCCTACCTTTTGTTCCACGCTTGCACGTGTACTGTTCAGCGGTGGCTTTAGATAGAGGATATAATGTATAAGAGATAGCGATTATTAAAAATTAATTATATCCATAAGTATAGATTTAGTTGATGCGTATTAATATGTCCTTAAGAATAAAGAACGAATCGTAATTGGACGGAATATTGTAGTTTTTTGATTCACGTTTATTTTATACAGTTAGGTTACTGTTATATTGCATTATGTTAAAAAAAAACAATTAAACTATATGAAAAACCTTATTAAATATTATATAACAAAACATGAGACTGTTTTTAGTCAAATTTTTAGCTTTAGAGTTTTCGTCAAACGCCATTTCCCATCACTTGGGCCACACATAAACAGCTTGCATCGTTGCACGTTGGGAAACTTTGAATGTAATCTCATAGTATTGTGCACTCTACGCAATCTAGTAGTAGCTAATCAAATGTCTGACACACTGTCATTATTGACCCACAGACAAACATATTTATTTTATATCAATTGATATTTGTTGCATGAAAAATATAAAAACCAACTGACTGTAGTCCTATGTTACTTAGAGCGTAAATACGAATTGAATGAACATCTCACAATTCAAAGCAGCTATAATATTTAGGATCTATTATAGGTTGCAAAGAAACCAAAATACAGATCCTTACTCTTCAAAGTTATTCAGCAGTGGTTTCCAAAGAGGTCGATCTAGATCCCCTGATCTCCATGGAAATGGGACCTGGATTTATGATGGCGAGATAAAGGATTGAGAAATTGAAGAAGTGTAAATCCATCAATTAGTTTATTTGCCAGGAATGATTGTGATATGCGTAGGAAGGGGGTAGATTCGGATATGACGGCTGATAGAGATGTATGGAGGAGTAGTACATACTCTGCCGACCCTCGATAGGGATAAGGGCAGGTTGATGATGATGATGGTACAAATGGTGTTACATGAATCAATAAATTCTGCCACGTACGGTTGTGCAGATATTGATTTGAAAATTAATCTTTATATTATAGAGATATTATATTAACAGCAAAAGGGTCAGCAAAAACAGTAAAGTTTTGAAAGACTTCTGCGAGAATATCGTTTGGAAATCATTGATGGAAAGTTAAGCATTTGATCTCTGTGACAGGATTGATGATGATGATGATGATATTTTGTAATACATACGAATTATATACATAAATTTGTATAAATAGTTTTTTTCATCACAAAATACTGGTCTACAATTCATTATCATCATCTTCAGCTCACTATACGTCCCCACCGAGGGACTCGATGTCTACCCTAAGTTAAGAGTGATTAGGCCATAGTCAACCACGCTGGCCAAGTGCGGGTTGGTTGACTTCACACATATCTTTTGAATTTCTTCTCAGATATGTGCAGGTTGCATCACGATGTTTTCCTTCACCGTAAGAACGTCGGATGAATGAACATATGTAAATCGGAACTGGAAAAACACATTGGTACATGGCGGGATTCAAACCCAGGACCTGCAGAATGCAAGTCAAGTGCTTGACCACTGAGCCACCGACGACAATTTATTATACTTTAACTAAATTACGAATTTTTTTCTTTCATGTTTAATCCATACAAAAAGTTTAAGAACTATGTCAAGGTTTTATGAAATTCAATAAAGCGTCAACTACGTAATCATTTTAACATTAATTGTATGAATGTTATCCTTTTATTATAAATACAAATTTAGTTTAAAGTTGAACAGCTACGTAATAAATATATAGCAAAGAATTCCCTTAGGGATCAAATGATGAGCCCGAGTGTGATTGTATTAAGTCATGAGGGGGAAAAGTACGTAATCAATGAAAAATTATTTATTTACACAAAAAAAAACAGAACGTGCTATTAAAAAAAGCCAAATCTCAATTGACTATACACGGAAAAAATCAGGATCCTCGCACTAAGTCAGCCTGTATCGCGAGGTGCCAGCTCAACGACTTGACAAAATATAGCATTAGACGGCAACATATTCAAAGATATTAGGACATAAATTAATTACCTTGAACCTTAATAATAATGTAAAATGAGAAGTTTTCTGTCTCTGCAGCCCAGACAGCTGGTTGCTTGAGTCATGGGATTCCGCAGCCGGTGGTGCTCTACTTCTAATATAATATGTTTTTAATAATTTTTATTTTATATATTGAAAATATGATAAATAAATAAATAAGTATAAAATGTAAACCATATTGCTTTGAAAATCAAATAGCTATTTGTCATTGAGTGTTACCGTTCAGTCTACAATGTTATAACATTAGAAAATACATAACGACAATTTCATGACTAAATCCAAGAGCACACGACCGATTTATCATAATAAGGAGCAGCGTCTCCTGTACAATCGCGCACGATAGTGCGTATGTTACAAAAAAAATAATAGCAATAGTTTGGTTTAGATCATTTTTTAATGTTGAAATAAGAGTCTAAATGTTATTCTTTCTAGTGTGTATAAACTAAATTTAAAAAAAAATGTTGTTTCAGTGCCCCATTTGGGTACTCTAATAGTCTTATTGTTACCGTTGAATTTTTTCTTTTAATCAGCCTGTAGCTAAATTTACGAAATTAATTGTATTTTAGTCTTGTTTTTATCTATTCATACCTGATTAATGATTTTTTTTTTAGATTTTTATATTTTGGTAAAAATTAATCCTAGACTAGATAATCATTGTAGTATTGGATAGTATATAATTTATATTTTAATATGTGCGTGTTACGCCTTATATAAAAAAATTCTCGTGATCATAATGTTAGTAAGCATACTCCTCAGAAAAGGCTTGACCGATTTTTACGAAATTTTATATGCATATTCAGTAGGTCTGAGGATAGGCTCCTATTTATTTTTAATCTCGCGAGGGCGGAGTCAACAGCTAGTAATTTAAATATAGATAATATTACATAAATCATAATATAAAATAGTAGTTTTATGTAGATTATGATAATCGATTATGTAGCCGATTGTACATAGATCTGGGTCGAAAAATCTAAGTGAGCGTTTGACCTAGTTGCGAGGGAGACGGCGATAAAAGTATAACGCGAGACCTGAATGCAACTTGTTTTATTTTGTTTACGTTAATACCTTACCGAAATACAAAACGAGAGAAATTGTGATTTAAGGAATTTTGTAATATAACTGACCGACTATTGGTTGCTGAGACCAAGATCTCTGTGTAAAATATATCGTCATCCCTGTCAGTATCTTTGACAAATCAGAGATAACAATATGTTTTAAACGGAAAAAAACAATCATGCTATCTCTGTTTTTTCATAACAAATGAAAGGGATGGTTATACGTATATCTTTTTTGATTGTTGTTAATTAGTGATAGGAACACAGGTACAGGACTTATTGGACCTGCACATGACAGAAAGAAAATTCATCGCCATTCCAACTATCCCTTTTTTTGAAGGGAAATATATATATTTTTTGTCTTATAAAGATTTTTCTTTCGCAGATTACGTAGCTGGTGGCGAATTGTTCACACATTTATACCAGAGGGAACACTTCCATGAAAACGAGGTCCGGATATACATCGCGGAGATTATATTGGCCTTAGAACAGTTGCATAAGGTGAGAATTATGTTATACGATAGAATTTGTACATTGATAATGTCTTAATAGGGGTATGGACTAGTCACCGTCCGTGAATCCATGGGCACTGAATTAAAAAATGTTGTCTGTGTGTTCTTCCCGACTATGTTCTACATCTGAGTCAAATTTCATTAAGTGTTGAGCCATCCTGAAGATATCTTCTAACAAACATCTGTCTATCTAAACTTTCGCATTTATAATATTAGAAAGATAGGAAGGTACTAAGTCCTATTGCAACTTTATCTAGTTCATAGTTAAATCTAACTTTACATCGGCTGAAGTCTGATATTAGAAGATACTAGAAGTGGATTTACTAATGCATCCAAATCCGGAAAGATTTTTTGACTTTAAAAAGTGTTTAACGATCGTTTAATCTTCACAGTTGATTGCATCTCTTTGTCTGGGAAGTAGGAAGTTGCCAATGCCAATGCTAAAATCTATTTCAAATTTTATCGAGATCCATGGAGCCGTTCTGGAGATACCTTCTAACAAACATCCATCCATCCATCCATCTAAAAATCACATTTATGATATTAGTAAGATTGAATAATGATTTAAAATTCTTTTCACCTCTAGCTTGGCATCATCTACCGAGACATCAAATTAGAGAATATCTTACTGGATGCTGAAGGCCACATCGTGCTGACTGACTTTGGTTTATCCAAAGAGTTCTGCGGTGGAGAGAGTCGAGCATACAGCTTCTGTGGTACCATTGAATATATGGCGCCCGAAGTAGTCAGGAGTGGCAGCCAGGGTCATGATATTGTAAGTACATTTTAACTTTTCTAATTGTATTAGGTGCCAGTGGACCATTACTAGTTCGTTTACCCAACTCCGGGCTTGTAAGGTTAACACGTTAGTTGCTAGAATGATTTTTCGAAAAACGAAATTTTTTATTTTTTTTATTTTTGTCCAATACCATTTGGATGGGCCCTTGCGGGTCACGCTGTATACAACAATTCGATTAAAAATCCACAGTGAGGTGTTGAATGGGAGTATGTTTTGTTGGACACATAGTCCGACACGGCCTGATTGAAACATTAGCATGTCGGACATATAGTCCGACATGGCAGCTAACGTGTTAAGGCAGAGGATACGGAATATTCTTTTTCAAAATATCCTGTCTTCTGTCTGTCAAAAATTATTGGCACAAAATTGTATTATAAATTTACGATTCGTTTTTTGTAACATTCTTTTATCTTTTTTTACGCTTTATAGTGAAATTCACTTAGCCTTATAAAGAAATTGAGTTTTTTATAATTTCATAGAAATCTTTTTCGTGGAAAAACCTCGGCTTTTGTTATTACGTGTTTGTACGTGGAAGTTTAGCTTTTCTGAAAACTACGTGAATAGTTAATACACACGGTAAACCCAATTATTAAATTCTAGTAAATACTAAGGAAATTATATTGATCAATTATTTAGTTGTTTTTTTTTAATTATTTAGTAGTTATATATATATATAACTTTACAATATTGGTACAAATTTATAATGTTGGTGTAGCTTTCAGATACTATGTTAGTTTATTTTTATCGAATTAAAAAAATATATTGTTAGGAAGGAAATCTGACACTATGTCGGAGTACTGGCGCAACACTAGCCTTACTAAAATGTCGACGTTTATGTCCCCTCACTATTCATTCTGACACTTGACTTTGTAATGAAAGCGCGACATTCGCGACAAGGGATTCTAATTAATAATGTCTAAAATTACATAGTTATTTACACACAGAAATAATATTACGAAATAAAAATACGTATTGCGCAAGAGGAAAAAAAATTGATTTCCTCTATCGAAAAACAATATATGCAAACCCAAAGTTACTTATGTCTAGTTTAAATTATGCTAGTAAAGTAAGACAGTTGCACTGGCCTGAAATTGTCTTGTTTACATTATGCCAGTTGTAATGCCAGTGCTGATTTTGATCGCTACTATCGTACTGTGCTGGCATAGTGAGCTGATGATGATGATGTTCAAACAGTAAATTTATAAGTCGTATCGGTTCAAACGAGATGTCACTGAACGTTGACTTTTTGGTGGGAACGTTGGTGGGTTCAACTCCGGAAAAAATACAAAAACATTGTCATCCTTTCCAGATACATTAAGAAAAGAGAGATGGCTATATGTTTTTTTTAAGTGTAACCAATTAACTTAATATAATTACTGTAGTATTATTAACTTTCTCTTCGTATAAAGGTTGATATTATTTGCAACTGCAATGAGAAGTAAAGTGTCACTTTCAACGTGGTAAAATAAATTATTAACATTGCCTCTCCCCCCACGATACCTTGGAAACCTATAACAATGACTGATTGAATTTCTCATTGGAGTGTCATCTGAATTATTTAACGCTAAACTACGTTACTTCACGTCTTGCAATAGTTAACACAACGTTAAGAAGCCGGTAGGGTTGCCAACTTACAACAAAGCAATAAAAAAAGTATAAAGTCATATTCGGTTGGCGATTAATAAAATCTTAGCAGTCTATGTGTTCCTTCAGACTATGCCCTACATCTGTGCCTAATTTTATCAAGATCCCTTGAGCAGTTTCGAAGATATCGTACAAATATCCATCTAAACATTCACATTTATAATATTAGTATGATATTTCTGTTGGACTTTAAGTCATGTAAAATAACAATTTAATAATATAAAATTTTGTCCATAACCATAAGATGGACATGTTATGAGGAGGGATGATGATGATATAAGCAAAAAAGTAATGAGATTGAATGTGGATGGCTACAAGGGTAGAGGAAGACCAAAAAAAGTATTAATGACTGTGTGAAAGAGGATATGCGTAAGAAGGGGGTAGACTCGGATATGACGGCTGATAGTATGGAGGAGTAGTACATACTGTGCCGACCCTCGATAGGGATAAGGGCAGGTTGATGAACCATAAGATGGCAAGTCACAAATATTCGTGCTAGAGTCACTGAAAGTACTTGACAAGCAAATAATATGTCGAAAGTTATTGTCAGTTTTATACATGTCCTAAAAAATCCAATAACTTTTACAGCAGTCACTCTGATTTGAAGACTGTTAAGCTAGAAGCCAGAATATGCACTATACAAAATATGAATTAGTGTCAATATTGACAACCCTACCGCAAATCAGCTGGTGAACGAAAGCGGGGGAAAGTTGCTTGCATCGGTCGATTGCTTGCGTTGATATTGTTAAAGAAAATTATGCTTCATTTACTTGCATTATTAGGTAAAATTAATTGAAGATGGATGTTATATAATTACTAGCTAGAATTTAGAAAAAAAAACTTAATCAACGTGTTTGACACTATGTTTATCCTTATGTCAAATTTCATGGACAAACATACATTCTAACAAACATCCAGATGCGATGAAATTTGGTATAGATGTAGAACATAGTCTGGAAGAACACATAGGCTACTAATTACGTTTTTTTTTTATCATTCCCCGCGGACGGCGTCTCGAGCGACAACTGGAATAGAAATAAATTGATTGTTTAAAATTTAAATTCACTATAACGATATTGCGTTTTTGTACCGTTATATTTATAGAGGTTGCAGTACTGTTTGTTTTTACAATTTAGATTTTTGGTAGATACAAGGTCGTTTTACGTGCTACGCATATTGTTAACTATACTCAAGTTCGGAGAAAAAACTACCGTACTCAGAGTTTATAAACTCGTAATGGAAGTGTTTAGTGAAGATTAAGTATCTACACTGGTAAATATCATTCAGATTGGGGAGTAAAATCTTCTTCTTTATTTTTGGCTTCGGCAGAGTAAAATCTTACTAATATTGTAAATGTTTGGATAGATGGATGGATGTTTATTTAAAGAAATCTCCAGAACGGCTGCATGGATCTCTTTGAAATTTGGAATAGATGTAGACCACAGACTGGAAGAAAACATAGGCTACTAATTGTTTTTTTTTTATATAGCGCGTACAGAATCGCGGGCGACAGCTAGTATTTTTATTAATGTGAAAAGATATAGGATATGAATTAGGATGACCTTGACTCTCTTATTGGCAATATTTTGTTCTTTTCTTAATATTTACACAAATGTAAATCTCTTTGGCCTTTTAGTTGTTGCCAAGTTTTCAATACTCATAAGAAATTGTAATACAAAATTCAAGTGATATTCTTGTCGTAAATTGTTTTTAATTAACTCAAGAGTTAAATTAATTATAATAAATCAAATCAAAACCTCAGTAAAGATAAAATGATGCTATTAATAAATTATCTCTTTGAGATATAATATATCTAATGCGTTGTGACATTACATCGGTCAGCTGACGCGTGCGCGGGAAATTTTGTAACGGCATTCCAAAATGGCCGACGCAAACATCAAAATGGTTGTTAGTAAACCATGCATTATTATTTGCAATTTATGATTAAGGAAAAGGATGTATTTTTAAAATTACGATGAGTATAAAAAATCTATAAATAACAATTAATTTTGTTGGATATTCTAATAGAAACAGAATGTTATTTCTACGTTTTTTTTGATCTTACTAATACTATATATGCGAATGTTTGGATGGATGGATAATTTGAAGGTATCTTCACAACTGCTGAACGGATCTTGACGAAATTTGGCATACTTATAGAACATAGTCTGAAAGAACACATAGGCTACTAATTTTTTTTTCGCTCGGACGGATTTCGCTGGCTACCATTAGTATCCAATAAAATACAACGTTTTCTGACATTTTGACCATTATATGCTACATTTCAAACGATTCTTGAGTTTTTTTTTAAATCTCATCGTCTTTTAACAGGAAAAGATTTATCAACGTCGTAAATATTGTGTTATTGTTTTGAAAGCCAAATTATTTTAATGGATATGCACTAGGGTACTGTTGCAATTTTTTTTAGATTTTTTTTTCTCGTAATCAAGTGAGAGATGTATCAGGATTTTGGTTACCAATGTAATTTTTATCAGCCTGTCCTTTAGTAAAAAAAAAATTGTCTATGACCTAGCTTGGTCTCATATTGATGGTAATTTATATGACTAATTAAAATAGTTATTGCATATTATAAAAAGTAAAATATCCAATAGAGGTATATGAAATGGATATTTGTGCCCAGCTCATTAAAGTTATTTAGGATGATAATTTATACAGAACAACTATAAATTCTTAAGTTTTGCGACCTGTACACACAGATTTGGTCCTACTCAAGTACTATTTAAAGCCAAATAATTTTACGCGTATTTTCAGTGTATTTACGACTTTCCTCGTCTCTTCAATGAAACTCAATCTTTTGTCTCGCTCTATCAAGAATAAATTTATATAGTTCGTACCCGCTCTCTCACAACCGTGACCTCCTTACCGCTCAGTCGAGCTAATTCGGGTCTGATACTAATATTGTATTAACAATTGTATGAGAAAGTGATTATTTTTAAGAATTTTACATATTATTTGATTGATTTAGCGTATTTAATAAGCTCTTGTCATCAAAGTTTTAAATTGCATGCGAATAGCTTGAGCATAGTGGATCGATAAATGACGTGAGAATCGGAAAACTGGAAGTGGTTCAAAATATCACGAAACAAAATAAAATATCACGTGTAATATAAATATCAATATATTTGGAAAATTTCTATGTTAATTTGTACCAAAAAATACTCGTAATTTTAGGTCTATTATAACTTTTATTTAATCAACAATTATTATACTTAGCAGAGCTAAAAGAACATAGTATCCCACAATGTTTAGTTTTGTGGTGTCACCAAAAAACTCTTCCATATTTGGGCTTTGGCACAGTAATTTCAATTTAT